GAAGTGGTGCTGTGGCTCAAGTGGTAGAGCGCTAGCCTTGAGCTGAAGAGCTGAGGGACAGTGCCCAGGCCCAGAGTTCAAAAAAAAAAAGTTCCATGATCCTGTAATTCAGGAGAAGAAATATGGGAAACAAAAGATAGTTAAAACAACAGACCAAAGGCACAAAGTACCACACCACCTACCATTATCTTCTACATTGTTTCCTGACTTAACTGTTTCCCCACTCATTCAAATTTTAGGATGTGGGCATGTCATGATCTTTCTATGGAAAACCACAGAAAACACTGTGAGCACAACTGGAGAGCTTAACAGACCAGGAAGGAAAGGAAATCAGATGGCAGGAAGTGGTGTTCATCTAAAGCACATGTTTAGTACTGACAACATTATTAATTCCAGTGTTTTATTTTATTTTATTTTTTTGGGTCCAGTTGTGGGGCCTGAACTCTGGGCCTGGGCGCTGTCCCTCAGCTCTTCAGCTCAAGGCTTGCGCTCTACCACTGAGCCACCTTCCCAGCCCTCCACAGTGTTTTAATGGGAAGCCATTTTTGCATTCCCTTGCATGATTTTATTTTATTTTGGTGCATGTGTGTGCAAGTGTGCTGGTACAACTAGGGCTTGAACTCAAGACCAGGGCACTCTCCCTTAGCGTTTTTGCTCAAGGCTGGAGCTCTAATCATTTGAGGCACACTTCCACTTCCAGCTTTTTGTTGGTTACTTGTAGTTAAAAGTCTCTGGAACTTTCCTGTTGTGGCTGGCTTTGAAATGAAGTCTCAGATCTCATTCTCCTGAATAGCTGAGATTACAGGCATGAGCTACCACCACCCAGCCTCTCATATGATTTTAATATTTAATTTGTATTTGTTTTGTACAATGTATGTGCTAAACACTGACTTCCACTCTATTCTCCTTAAGATCTTATCAGGATCTTAACAACTGAAAAACACACTTCTCTTACTGCTCAGGACCCAACCTCAAACAAATTGAAGCTGTAAACCAACAGAAGACTGATGGATGGGTGGAAGATTGCTAAGTGTCAACATGCAATCAGAAGAAAGAAAGAAAAAAAAGTAGCTTTCCAACAAAACTGAAGAATGAAAGAACTGGGTATATTTACACAATGTCTGTTTACATTACTACACACGGTGGCGGAGGGGGGGGGTTCACTTTGGGCTGCACAAATCCTGAGAAAATGGTCAGTGACTAACACCTAATTTTTAAAAGGCCAATAGGAGGTAAAGTAACGAACGCAGGCTGGAGAATGGCTCTCTGGCTGGCTGCCCCCAGGAGGTCCAGGAGAAAGACGGGTTCCTGCGGGGCCCCACCCCGTCGAGGGCCCAGCCGAGGGGCCCCCCACCGGCAGGCAACCACCTGTGCTGGGCGGAGACCCCTGAGGAGGAGTTGGGGCTGAAGTGGGAAGCATTTTGGGGGCCAGCCCCCCCGCCCAGGATGGTCCAGGCCACTCGCCCGACTTCCGGGCCCCTCCCGGGTGAGGTCACCCCCCAGAGCCCCCCGCCGCCGGCCCCAGGGCGCGCCCCACACCCCGCCGGCCCCAGGGCTCGCGGCTTGACAGCTGCCCCGCCACGGCCAGGCGGTCCCGGCCCCTTCAGCCCGGGGTCCCCCAAACCAGTCGTCCGGCCTCCGAGGCGCCCCGGGCCCGCGGGATTTCGGGTCCGGGAGGGTTTGGTCCGATCCCGCCTCCCCCTCGGCGTCCTGGGCTCACCTCCCCGGCAGCTTGGCGCTCCTCTTCCAAAACTGCTTGCTGTTCTCGGCGGCCATGGCTCTGGCCCGGGGAGGTCCTGGTAGGCGGGCCACGGGGGGGAGGCGCCCGCGGGATGCCACCCCCAGGACCCCGGAATCTGAGGGCCGGACCCAGGCCGCTTCCCCGCCGCCGCCGCCGCCGCCGCCGCCGGTCACCCGCTCCCAGCTCTTGGGGACGCCATCTTGGATGTGGGCATCTCCCCGCCCAGCCCCATTGCCATTGGTGTTCTGCACAGGCCCAAGACGGATGGACCAATCAGAAGCCAGAATCCTGCAGGCCTCTGAAGCCCAACTTCTACGTCAGCGGCTGGGCATGCAGGTGGACCGAGGAGGCGGGGCCTAAGAGAGCAGGAAGGCGGGGCTGAAAGTTGTACCCACTGGAGGCAAGAAACAGGTACGGAAAGAGACCTGGGGAAAGATGGTTTTCTTTGAGGGGGATGAGATTTCTCAGCTACATATATTTTTTTTAAGAAGAAGAAGAAAAAGAGCATAATATACTTATGTACATACATAAAGCTTTTGACTTAAAAGTAAGAACCCTCAGTGATGGTTATGGGCCATTTTTAAGATCTCCCAACTCAATGACACTGGTTTATGACACGCCCCCTTCTTTCCCTTAAAGCCCCCAATTTATTATTACTTGAATTTTTTTGAAAGAAGACTGATACAGCCCAGGGTGACTGTTTCAACAGGCAAGTAACAGTTGGTTCATCAGAATTTCCCTCTTCTCTGATAACTGAACACTATGACATGATTTGGGTTGCAGGTGAAATTGAAATGATGTAACCCCAATTTCAATCTCGACTCTTAGTTTTGACTACAGGAAGCTAAGCACTTGACAGGTTGTTCTTAGGGAAATGTTCTTATTTTATCCATCCAGTTGAAATTACCAAGTGCCATTTCTCTTGAGGACATAGAGTATCTGTATAACATCAGCTACAAAGATTAAAGCCGTAGGAACCCATGTCCTTAATTTTCTTTATCATTCACCTTTGATTTTTTTTCCATTGAGCTTTTACTCAGAATGAAACCTAATATGAGCATTTTAAACCCTTTGTCTTGTTAGTGATTCTACTTTTTGTTTTTTAGTGTTTGTGGTTGTATTCCATGATGATTGAAAGAGGAATATTTGCTAGTTCAGAGTCATTTTGTGTCATCTAAAGACTGTAGCATGTGGCTGATTGCCCTTGAAGCCCACTCTATTCACTGCTATCCCATGTCTTTCTACATATTGGAGAATACTTAAGGAGCCCTGTTAGTTAATGATTCTTTTTGTTTTGTTTTGTTTTGGGGGTCCGGTCGTGGGCCTGAACTCTGAGCCTGGGCGCTGCCCCTCAGCTCTTCAGCTCAAGGCTAGTGCTCTACCACTTGAGCCACAGCGCCACTTCCGGCTTTTTTTTCTCATGGGTGCTGAGGAATCGAACCCAGGGCCTCAAGCATGCAAGGCAAGCACTTTACCACTGAGCCACCTTCCCAGCCCAGTTAATGATTCTTTTTATTTTCTTTTTCCCAGTCGTGGGGCTTGAACTCAAGGCCTAGGCACTATCCATCAAGGCTAGCATTCTACCATTCTGAGCCACAGCTCCACTTCCAGTTTTCTGGTGGTTAATTGGAGAACAGAGTCAAGACTCCTTTCCTGTGTTGGCTTTGAACCACAATCCTCAGATCTCAGCCTCCTAAGTAGCTAGGATTATAGGCTTGAGCCACTAGCACCTAACTTTTAATCTTTTCTTTTCTTTCTTGCTTTTCTTTCTTTTTTATTTTTATTTTTTTGTCTGTCATAGGGCTTGAACTCTGAGCCTGGGCTCTTTCCACTCACCATGAGCTCTTTTAGCTCAAGGCAAGTGTTCTACCACTTGAGCCACAGCACCACTTCTGGTTTTCTGGAGATAAGAGTCTCATAGACTTTCCTGCCAGGGCTGGCTTTAAACCCCAATCCTCGGGGCTGGGAAGGTGGCTCAGTGGTAGAGCGCTTGTCTTGTATGCCTGAGGCCCTGGGTTCGATTCCCAGCACCACATAAGCAAAAAGAAAAAAGCCGGAAGTGGTGCTGTGGCTCAAGTGGTAGAGCGCTAGCCTTGAGCTGAAGAGCTGAGGGACAGCGCCCAAGCCCAGAGTTCAGGCCCCAGGACCGACAAAAAAAAAAAAAAAAAATATTATAAACATGTATGCAAATAGAATAGTGAAATCCCCTCCTATGTAACTAATGTAAGCTAATCAAAAAAGTTTTCTCGGGGGCTGGGAAGGTGGCTCAGTGGTAGGATGCTTGCCTTGCATACATGAGGCCCTGGGTTTGATTCCTCAGCACCACATAAGCAGAAAAAGCCTGAAGTGGTGCTATGGCTCAAGTGGTAGGGCATTAGCCTTGAGCTGAAGAGCTGAGGGACAGTGCCCAGGCCCAGAATTCAGGCCCTATGACCAACAACAAAAAAAAGTTTGCTCAAATGAGTTAGTTAACAAAAGAGAGAGAGGAAGGAAGGAAGGAGAAAGGAAGGAAGGTGAGGAGAGAGGGAGGAGGGAGGGAGGAAGGTGAGGAGGGAGGAAGAGAAGGGAGGGAGGGAGAGGAGAAAAAGAAAGAGGCCTAAGATACAAATAAAGTCACTTTTCCCCTTTTGTGTGGGTCTCCAGTCTCCCTCCTCCTCCCTCCCCCGCTGGAAAGCTAGATCCTGGGTGACAGGTTCAGCTTTCCCGCATGTCGCTGACGCCCCACATATGTGCGTGTCCATAAACAACATGCTTGCCGTGTTTGGAAACGTTATAAATAGCATCACTCTATACATATGCTCTTGCAACTGGCTTTTTTTCCTCTCCACCATCTCTCCAGTTTCATCTTCATTGCAATGTACTCTTCCATGATGAAAACATGTCTTCATTCCCATTTCTGAGGGTTTCATTTCCAACAGTGTTCAGTCAGCATTCTTTTTCCTTCTGTTCCACTTTTCTTGTTTGGTTTCTTGTTTGCATAGTACTGGGGACTCAGTCCATGGCTTCGCGCATTCTTGGTCATTAATGTACCACTGAGCATCATTGTCAGCCAGGTGCAACGGCTCACACCCGTAACCCTAGCTATTCAGAAGGCTTGGTGTGGGGCCAATCCAGATAAAAAGTCTGTGGGACCCCATCTGAACTAATAGCTGAGCTCAGTGGTACATGCCTGGCAGGAAACATAAACAGGAGGATCATGGTCCACGTTGGCTTGGGCAAAAGTGAGAGACTCTATTTCAAAACTAATCACAGCAAAGAGGGTTAGAGGTGCTCAGGTGATGCGGCCTAGCCAGTGCAAGGCCGTGATTGCAGACAACATCATCACCAGACAGTTTCCCAACCTGTGGAAATTCCATGAGATACAGAGCCCACCTCCCAGTATGGTATCTGCCAGAGCCAGCTTCTCACTCTCCAGGCTTCCTTGAGAGCTAAGGCAACAACTGTGCCATCAAGGTGTGTTAATAAAATGCTCCACTCTCAGTTTTGAGGCGGGAGGCGCTCATGTTGCAGAGATGACAAAGCAGATAAGAATCTTGGGAGCCAGGGGCCCGCGGCTCATGCCTGTAATCCTAGCTACTTATGAGGCTGAGATCTAAGGATGGTGGTCAAAGCTAGCCTAGGCAAGGAAAATCAGTGAGACTCTTATCTCCAATAAACCACCAGAAAACTGGAAGTGGCACTGTGGTTCAAGTGGTAGAGCACTAGCCTTGAGCTGAAGAGCTCAGGGACAGTGCCCAGGCCTAGAGTTCAAGCCCCACCATGGACCAAAAAAAAAAATCTTGGATCTGTGGGCGGGCAGTGCCAGGCATGGCTGAAGCCCTGGGCTGGAAGAGCCATTGAGGCAGCCTGGGCAGCAAGAGGCTGGCCAGAAGGACTTGCAGCATAATGACAAGATTCAAATGCTCACCAGTGGCTTTGTGGGGTCTTCAGGGATCCAGCTGGGCACTGAGCTGTGACTACCACCCTTGGAGAGAAGCTTCTAGTCTTGGCGGGGTAGACTGGGTACATGGTGGGGTTGATTCTTACCCTCCTGGGCCTTATCATGTCGGCTCATCCTCTGCTGGCTCTAGGCTCCCGTGAGATTGATTGTATGGGTCAATGAGATTTTAGTAACTATTTCACACGCAGACGCCTGAAAAGCAGTCGTGTAACTGGGCTTGTGTGATTGCTATTAGCGCATGTCTAGACTGGCCTGCTGCACAATGAGAGACATGTGGACCCTGGCCAAACCTCCCAGTATCCCAGCTGAGGCCATCGGAAATTAGCCAAGAGCCAGCTCAGGCTCTGACGTAGGAATGAATTCAGCCAAAACCAACAGAGCTGCCCGGCCAGCCAACAGTTGACTACAGACACACCAGCCAGCCCGGCTGGCATCAGCCCAAATGGCCCCGCCCCAAATAAGCAGAGGCCGACAGGCTCCTGACCTAACGATGTGATCACTGTCATGGGCCACCAAGGCACCGTGATTGTTTATGGGGCTTCGCACTGGTTAATAGATACACGTGATTCTGCGGCCTTCATCATCTATAAGGAATGGCTTTTCTGTTTCAATGGGCCAACAATCGGATCTGTTGCTTGCTTTGACTAACACAGAAAAGGCTGAAGATAAGCTGGAAAGAAACTTAGGGTCAAAGGAGAGGTGGAGATAGGAGAGATTTTTCACATGCTTATATAGGCAGCAGACCGGAGGCAGTTGTATTTGTTGAGATAAAAGTAACAGTGCGCTGGGCACTGCTGAGATCTGAGGGAGTGTGGTTGGAAGCCAGGCTGGGCAGGAAAGTCTATGAAAAGCTTAGCGCCAATAAACTACTCAGAAACAGTGCCAGAAGTGGCACTGTGGCTCAAGTGGTAGAGTGCTAGCCTTGAGCACAAAGAGGCTCAGGGACAGCGCCCTCTGAGTTTAAGACCCAGGACTGGCAAAAGAAAAAAAAATAATAATAGCAGTGCTACTCAAGATGCTGAGATCTGATTATTGTTGTTCGAAGCCAGCCAGGTGCAGGAAAGTCCATGAGACTCTTACCTCCAATAATCCACCAGAAAACTGGAACTGAGGATCACAATTTGAAACAGCCAGGGCAGAAAAATCTGTGAGGCTCTTATCTCCAATTAGAAAAAAAAAAAAAAGTGGTAGAACACCAGCCTTGAGTGAAAGTAAAAGCTTAAGACCCTGAGTTCAAGCCCCAGTACCTGCATAAAAAGAGAAAGAAAACTGGGCGCCAATGGCTCACGCCTGTAATCCTAGCTACTCAGGAGGCTGAGATCTGAGGATCACGGCTCAAAGCCAGCCTGGGCAGGAAAGTCCATGAGTCTCTTATCTCCAGTGAACCACCAGAAAATTGGAAGTGGCACTGTGGCTCAAATGGTAGAACCCTTGCCTTAAGCTGAAGAGCTCAGGGATAGCACCCAAGCCCAGAGTTCAAGACCCACGACAAACAAAAAAAAAAAAGAGAGAGAGAAAAGAAAAAAGTAAGCATTGCCTGCCTAAAGGACAATTTGCCTTTTACCACAGGTAAATCCTGTCTTTCCTGGAGGTGTGGAAAATGGCTCAGATCAAAGGACACGGATGCCAAAGGCTGGGTGCCCAGCTGGCATCCTGCTTTAGGTTAACTCATGGGTGCAGCACAAGTAGCTTTTGAGTTATCTCACGCATATTCCTTGTTAAGGACCTCCTTTTTCAGTGGGGTAGAGCAACTGTGTTCCCAGTCTGGGCATAAGTGGATAATCCCATTCAGCTTTGCCAGAAACTTGCTTTCCCAGCCTCCCCCTGACTATGGGTGGTCATGTGACCTAGTGCTGACCAATGAGCTATGATAGGAAGACTGCTGAGCATGTCTGGGAAATGTGCACTTCCTGTGAAAGAGACAAGGAGAGGGGGAGCTTGAGGATATACTCCTGGTTGGGGTGTTGGTGTGAGGGGCTGTGGCAGGCAGCTGTGACACTGAAGGCCAGCGCGCGCGCGCGCGCGCACACACACACACACACACACACACACACACGAGAAAGAATGCAGGCACCCTGGGACGCTGAGTGGCCAGCAGACTGTGTGGACTTTGTACCCAACTGTGAGATTTACTGTCAGAATTACCTCATTCTCTGTCGGGCTGTTTTTTCCTTGCTTGTAGGCTGACTCACCACCAAAGCACGCCAGGCATTTTCTCTAGGTTGAAGAGGATTACCCATTTTATCCCCCACAGGAGAGTTTTTGGGAAATCTGTGCTCTAAGAGCCAAAGATGGAGATTTTGTTGGTAAAACAGGAAGTGTTGATTTGCAAAGTTGCAGGGTTGAAGGTGTGGTCCAAGTGGTAGAGCACCTGCCTAGTAAGTGCAAGGCCCTGAGTTCAAATACTATAAGGAAGGAAGGAAGGGAGGGAAATTTGTAAGACATCCAGAGTAAAGAACTATCCACAGTCATCTGGCTGGGGATGTAGATGTATGATAGAGGACTTGACTAATAAGCCAGGCTCTGGAGGTTCACTTCATAACCCTAGCTACTCAGAAGGCTTAGATCTGATAATCACATTTCAAAGTAGCCTAGGCATGAAAGTCTGTGAGATTCTTACCTCCAATTAACCATCAAAAAGCCAGAAATGGAGTTGTGGCTCAAGTAGTAGAGCACTAGCCTTCAGCAAAAAATCTTATGGACAGTACCCAGGCCCTGAGTTCAAACCCTAGGACTGCCACACACACACACACACACACACACACAAAGAATACTTGATCAGTGTGCCTGACTTCTGCTGTACTGCTATAAATAATAATAATAAATAAATAAATAAAAAGTCTTACTAATATTTTCGCAGCCCAGCCCACTCCCCCTACCCCCCTTTCTCTGGTATTGGGAACTCAGAGTTTAGCATTTGCTGGGCTAACACTCTTACTATTGGAGCCATACCTCCAATCTGGCATTTTCCTTGTTAATGGAAGACTTTCTTAGACTTTTCTGCCCAGACTGGCTTCAAAACATGATCCTCCAACTCTCAGCCTCCGGAGTAGCTAGGATTACAAGTGTGAGCCACCAGCACCCATTAATTCATAAGTTTTGTTTTGTTTTGTTTTGTTTTGTCGGTCATGGGGCTTGAACTCTGGGCCTGGGAGCTGTCCCTCAGTTCTTCAGCTCAAGGCAAGGGCTCTACCACTTGAGCCATAGCGCCACTTCCAGCTTTTTCTGCTTATGTAGTGCTGAGAAATCGAACCCAGGGCCTCATGCATGCAAGGCAAGCACTCTACTGCTGAGCCACCTTCCCAGCCCAATTCATAAGTTTTGATAGGCAGCAGAGAGGAGTGACTTGGAAAGCCAGTCAAGCGCCCGTCTGTTTACATCATAACCCTGCTGCCCTAGAGTTAGCCAATTTCACCATGAGGACAGAAGTGGTCAGGGGAGCTATATGTGGAGAGATCAGAGAGAATTTAGACCACCTTGTTATATAACCTTGTGTTTTCTAACATGGGATTGGCTGCCTATGAAAATTCCTCTGAGGCTCTTAGAACCCTGCTGCCTGGGTCCCGCCCAGAGGATATCTGATTGGTCCAGGGAAGAAGGGAGGGAGGGGCCTGAGGCCCAGGCACTTCTAGGGTTAAGAACCAGTGCTTTCCTTTATCAGCTCCCAGCTCCAGAAATCCCCCTCCGCACTACAGCCAATTTCAACTAGGCCGTTCTTCCCTGCCCTCCCTGTTTCTCTGAGGCTCCGAGGTGGATCAGAGAAGGGGAAACAGAGAGCAGGCTTGGATTGCCAGCCTGGGCAGCTCCTGCAGCCGGGCTCCTGTGGTTTATCTCCGTAGGTGTGGACATGAAGCAGAAGCGCTGGTGTGGGATGACTGCCAAGATAGGGACCACACTGTCAGGAGTCTTCTCCATCATAGTCACCCACTTGTACCTCATCTTTGAGCAGAAGCACCTGGAGGATGGCAACTGCACGGCGATTAGCCCCCAGGACCACAGGGGCCTGAAGAACATGCTAAGCCATTTCATCATCTGTTGGAGTTTTAGAATCATTATTTTCCAGTGTTTCATCACCATGATCATCAGCTTCCTCCTCCTGTACTCTGTGTATGCCCAGATCTATAGGGGCCTGCTCATCTACATCGCATGGATCTTTATCTATGAGACGGTCAACTTGACCATCCAGATCCTCATCAATGACTTCAGCATAGAGGAGGTCAGATTCGTGCGCTGGAGCGGCCTGGTATGCCGGACCTTCTTGCATGGCTTCTGGATGTTCTTCGTCTTCAACTACATGCGAATCATCTACAAAAGTCAAAAGCAGGGCAACATCATCTGCTACAACAGACGCATGTCAGTGGCGAGTGCTGAATCTCCACGACGGAAATCGAAGATTATAAGCTTCGTCCATCACTTATAATAAATGTCAGCCTCCTCCCACCCTCCCCCCCCACACACACCCAGGCCCAGGCTGTGGTCTCCACTCTTCTTCCTTTCATGGGCCATCCCACCCCACCATGAGACTTAGTCCAAGGGCACTGGTTTTGAACAAGCCCTCCTCCAGGTCTGTCCTCTTTTTCTGGTCCATACCTCCTGGTGGATCCAAATGAAGAGGATGAGCTGAGCATCAGGGCTTACGCTTGTAATCCTAGCCAGTCAGGAGGCTGAGATCTGAGGATCACCGTTTGAGGCCAGCCCAAGCAGAAAAGTCCATGAGGCTTTATTTCCAATTGACTACCAAAGAAAAAAAGCAACAACACCACCACCAAAAAACAAAAATCAAGACAGTAGAGGTGTAGCTCCAGTAGTTAAGAGTACCAATCTTAAGTGAAAATTCTCAACCAAGTGTGAGGCCCTGAATTCAAGTCCCAGGAATTTTGTTAATGTGTGGAGAGGAATGCAGTCGCATGGACTGCAGTAATCACAAATGGCTTTGCTAAAGCGATAGGATTTGACATGCCTTGGAAGGTTGGTTTGATTTTAATGTGGCCTAGAGGCTAACATTGCAGAAAAGCCACGATGTACCAACGCATTATAGCCACCAGGGGTCGCTGATTATTGATGCTTAGTCTTTGTTTTCTTTTGAATTAAAAAAAAAAGATGTTAATACATAAATCAGCCAATTTCCCTCCCTGTGGCTTTCCCCCTCTTCTTCCCGCTCCTAATCTATGTTTTAAATTGCATTTAAATGTACATGTCTCAAATATTTAAAAAAAATTTAAATTATTACAAAAGTGATGTACAGAGGGGTCATGGTCACATGTCAGGTAAAGTGTACATCTTGAATGCTTTTCTTAAAGAAAAAAAGTGTAAGTGTAGCCAGCCAGGCACAGTTGGCTCACACATGTAATCCTAGCTACTCAGGAGGCTGAGATCTGAGGATCGAGGTTCAAAGCCAGCCAGGGCAGGAAAGTCCCGATGAGCTTCTTTATCTCCAATTAACCACTCAAAAACCAGAAGTGGTGCTGTGGCTCAAGTGGTAGAGAACTAGTCTTGAGCACAGAGAGGCTCAAGTACCCAGGCTTTAAGTTCAAGCCCCACCACCACCACCAACAACAACAAAAGTATTGTCAGTGAATTATAGAAAATTGAAGAGTAACTGAGCAACTTCTGACAAGATGAACTCCATGGATCAGCTCCCTAGGAAAATAGCTGCAAATTATTGTAAAAACAGCTGGGCATCAGTAACTAATGCCTGTAATCTTAGCTACTCTGGAGGCTGAGAGCTGATGATTGTGATTTGAAGCCAGGCCAGGCAGGAAAATCTGTGAGACTCTTATCTCCAATTAAACACCAAAATCCAGAAGTAGAGCTGTGGCTCAAGCAGCAGAGTGCTAGCCTTGAGCAAAATAGCTGGGTGACAGCACCTAGGCTCTGAGTTCAAGCCCTTGGACCAACACCCAAAGTAAAAAATAAATTGTAAGCTGGATGCCAGCAGCTCATCATGCACTGTCCCTGAGCCTCTTTGAGCCACAGCTCCACTGCTGGTTTTCTGATACTTAATTGGAGATAAGAATCTCAGGGCCTTTCCTGAGATTCAGCTGGCTTTAAACCATGATCTTCAGATCTCAGCCTCCTGAATAACCAGGATTACAGACATGAGCCACCAGCACCCAGCAGAATGGCAGCTGTTTAAAGGTATCTTTATTCTGGGCAGAGAAGACAGTTAAGTCCTGCACACATAAACTTCCCCCTTCCACACTGCTGGCCTAGCCTGTGACTTGAAACAGGGCTAGGGCGCCCCCTAGAGGACAGCAGCAGAACTGTCCATTCCCAAGGATTTAGAAAGAAAGGGCGAACATTTAGAGGTGGCACAAATTCCCCAGAGGGGAGCCCAGAACTCCATTGCTCATTATTCCAGGGGCACTCCGACGCCCCCAAATCCATGCCACCAGTGGCAGGATGGTCCCCTGACTCCCAGCCTGCCATCTGTCCACACATTGCTCTGCCCTCCTCTGGGGCTGACAGTCGTATTTCTCCATCAACTTTGTACTTTCCTTGCAGGAGATAATCCAGGAAGACGAGTAGGAAATGAATGCCAGGATGATATCCCTCATGGCAGCTGTCTTCTCGATCTTCAACACCATCCAGTTCTTCATCATGGAGCTGAACCAGTCCACCTACATCGGCTATGAAGACAAATACAGCCTCTTCCTGAGCACGAGCTCTGAGCTCGTCACCTGGCTCATTGTCCACAAGAAGACCATCAACATCTGCCTGGCCCTCATCACCATCCTCGTGAGCTGCTTCCTGCTCTACAGTATCCTCACAAGCCAGTGTATGGGGCCGCTGATCTATACGTTATGGATCATTGCCTACGAGCTCATCAACTTCTCCATCGTCCTGCTCATCCAGGGGCTCGTGAAAGAACAGTTCAGGCAGCTGAGTCACCTGTACGTGGTCTTCCAAGTCTTGCGCATGTGCCTGCACTTCTTCTGTCTGCCCTTCATTGTCAGGCACGGCTACTTCCTCTACGTGGAGCCCAGGGCGGTGGGAAAGCTAGCCCGCCATAGACACTCCTCCGTCAGCACTGTGGACATGTGGCCACCTGTTGGGCTGAGACTCATGTATCGCAAGTCAAACTGAACAGTGCCAGGATGGACAGAGAGAGAGAGAGAGAGGAGAGAGAAAGAGAGAGAGAAGCATGCTGTTTAGCAACAGTGAAGCCTGGGTCCTGTGGGTACTGCTTGCCTTTTGGGAGTTTCTAAGTTAAGGCTCTTGGAACGAAGTGGCACAGGTCAATTAGTTTGCCAATGTGCAATGACATACATTCATACTGCCTGTTTACCTACCTTGTTGGTGTCAAGTTGTATCTCTCATTGACCCCTCCTGTCTGAACGTCCTCTGTGCCTTTTCTAACTCTTCTGTAGAGTCCTTTTGGAGCAGTGCTGTTCCATAGAATTTTCTGTATTTTTTTTTTGTTGGTCATGGGTCTTGAACTCTGGGCCTGGGCACTGTCCCTCAGCTCTTCAGCTCAAGACTAGCGCTCTACCACTTGAGCCACAGTGTCACTTCCAGTTCTCTGATTGGTTTATTGGAGATAAGAATCTCACAGACTTTCCTGCCCGAGCTGGCTTTGAATCAAGATCCTCAGATCTCAGGCTCCCAAGTAGCTAGGTTATAGGCATGAGCCACCAGCATCTGGCTGACAGAACATTTTTTTTTTTTGTCGGTCTTGGGGCTTGAACTCTGGGCCTGGGCGCTGTCCCTCAGCTCTTCAGCTCAAGGCGAGCACTCTACCACTTGAGCTACAGCGCCACTTCCGGTTTTCTGGTGGTTTATTGGAGATAGGAGTCTCACGGTCTCTCCTGCCTGGGCTGGCTTTGAACCGAGATCCTCAGATCTCAGCCTCCTGAGTAGCTAGGATTACAGGCGTGAGCCACCAGCGCCCGGCTCAGAACATTTTTATCAATACAGAAAATTCCTTGCCAGGGCTGGGAAGGTGGCTCAGTGGTAGAGCGCTTGCCTTGCATGCATGAGGCCCTGAGTTCGATTCCTCAGCACTACATAAGCAAAAAGAAAAAAGCCGGAAGTGGCGCTGTGGCTCAAGTGGTAGAGCGCTCGCCTTGAGCTGAAGAGCTGAGGGACAGTGGCCAGGCCCAGAGTTCAAGCCCCACGACCGACAAAAAAAAAAAAAAAAGAAAATTCCTTGCTAGGTGCCGGTGGCTCATACCTGTAATCCTAGCTACTCAGGAGGCTGAGATCTGAGGGTCGAGGTTCAAAGCCAGCCCGGGCAGGAGAGACCTTGAGACTCCTATCTCCAATAAACCACCAGAAGACCGGAAGTGGCGCTGTAGCTAAGTGGTAGAACGCTCGCCTTGAGCTGAAGAGCTGAGGGACAGTGGCCAGGCCCAGAGTTCAAGCCCCACGACCGACAAAAAAAAAAAAAAAAGAAAATTCCTTGCTAGGTGCCGGTGGCTCATACCTGTAATCCTAGCTACTCAGGAGGCTGAGATCTGAGGATTGTGGTTCAAAGCCAGCATGGGCAGGAAAGTCTGTGAGATTCTTATCTCCAATTAACCACTCAGAAAACCAGAAGTGGCTCAAGTGGTAGAGCGCTCACCTTGAGCAAAAGAGCTCAGGGATAGTGCCCAGGGCCCTGAGTTCAAGCTCCATGAACACCACCATCACCACCACCACCAACAACAACAACAAAAAGCTCTGCCTCAGCACTGTCTCCTAGCTACAGGTGGCTACTGAGCACTTGGAATGTGACCATTATAACCCAGAAGGCAAATTGTTCATTCTATTCCATCGTAATTCACTTGGGTTTCAATAGCTGCTCGGGGCTGGATCCCTGAGGGAGAGTGAAGCATTCTGGAAACTCAATTTGCCTTTGCCAAAGTAAGACCCTATTTGAAAAAAACAACCTAAAAGCCAAGGGACTGAGCTTGAGTGGTGAGCACTTCCTAGCAAGCTGGAGGTTCCCCCCCCCCCCATACCATGCAGCCCTGAAGGATTTCCTATCACCAGCATGCCACTGTCTTATATATCATTCTCAGACGTCAGTCACAACCAAAAATATCTCCAGGTTTGTAAATGTTCTAGCTCTTTTTTCTCCTTCACAGCTCCCCAGTTGAGAACTACTATTCACGTGTGTGTGTGCACATGCGCACACGTGCATGTGTGGGTCCTGAGGCTTGAACTCAGGGCTTTGAGATCTCACTTAGCTTTTTCATTCAAGGCTTCACGCTCTACCACTTGAGCTACAACTCCACTTCCAGCTTTTTGGTAATTCATTGGAATCTGATGGGCTTTCCTTCCCAGGCTGGTTTCAAATTGAGATCCTCAGATCTTAACCTACTGAGTAGCTAGGATGACAGCACCCAGCTGAGAACAATTCCTTTTAAAGAAACATGACTCCAGTGCAGAGAGTTGGTACACACTACAGTTGACTTAACAGGAACCACTTTTTTCAACTGAGAGCAGAGCCAAGGGATGCTGTTCATTGCGGCTGCTTTCATCCGGACCTTGAGCAGGATGACAAAACTCACTTCCATTGAACACATGACCAATGCTACTCTAACAATTCAACTCTTCTCACTTTGCAAGAGCGAAACTTAGAACAAGGCAATTCCCAAAAGGACCACAAGATGGCAGTAAAAGCTTCCGTTTAGCCCTGCTCACCTTCTAAACCAGGTCTTCTAAGGCTTATTTTGCATTTAAGGCACCACAAGCTGATGATCCGGAGTTAACTGTGTGTTTCCGCCCCATGTCACCAGGCATGCCTTTTCTGGCCAGAAACACAAGAGAAATCAAACATGGTTCCAATCTCTAATCTTTGTTGAGTGGCTACGGTGGAGGAGTGGGTGGGGACTGGGTAAACCTGGATACTAAAGACAGTTGAGAAAAGGAGAATTCTAAGAATCAGCTGGGCTGCGTTAGCCTGAGCTGGCTGCTGGTGGCGCATACGTGTAATTCAAGTTACTCAGGAGGCTATGATTTAAAGGATCATGAATCAAAGCCAGCTCATATAGAAAACTCTACTATAGACTCCAAGTAACCAGCAAAAAGCTGGGTTGGGTGGCATGGCTCAAGTGGTAGAGTGCCTGTTGAGAGTGAGAAAGCAAAACAAAAGCCAGGTGCTATTGGTTTGCACCTGTAATCCTAGCTACTAAGGAGGCTGAGCTCTGAGGATCATGATTCAAAGCCAGCTTGGTCAAGAAAGTCTAAGACGTGACACGTGTGTGTGTGTGTGTGTGTGTGTGTGTGTGTGTGTGTGTGTTGTGCCAGTCCTAGGGCTTGAACTCAGAGCCTGGGCACTGTCCCCGAGCTGCTTTTTCTCAAGGCTGGCGCTCTACCACTTGAGCCACAGACTACTTCTGGCTTTTTCTGCTTATGTCATGCTGAGGAATCAAACCCAGGGCCTCCTACATGCTAGGCAAGCACTCTACCACTAAGGCACATTCTCAGTCCCTCTGTGAGCCATTTAACTCCAATTCACCACCACCAAGCCACCAGTGGAGCAAAAGAGCTCAGAGCCAGCACGTAAGCCTTGAGTTCAAGACTCAGAACCAGCACGAAATAAAAAACCAAGTGTTGTAACAATACCACTGACCTTTGCTCCTGAGGGTAGCAGTTACCTAAGCTGTTTTTCAGGAACTCAGAAGCCATTGACCGCTCTGCTAGGCCCATGCAAATGTCTGCCAGGTCAAAAGGCCACCCGAACACACTAGACCACACAATGCACCATTCTCTAAGCGGGTGCCCAACAAGAGCCGGAGGCCACCAACCACACCAACATTCCTAACCTTCAGTTACCTTGCTCCAGCTCCTCAGCCCACCCTACTGCTTGTGCAAACCTCAGCCTTGGGGCTCGACCCCCACCAACTCTGACACAAAACTCATGGTTCTGTGATTGTTGGGTGCCCCACTGGGTAACATAGAGAACTAATAGGTGTAAGATCTCACATCGGCGCCTTAGAGCCTTCTCAGAACATATCCCAAAGCAGGTGTACATAGCTCAGGCCCGTAATCCTAGCTACTCAGGAGGTTGAGATCTGAGGATCACAGTTCAAAGCCAGTCCCAGCAGACAAAGCTGACAGACTCTTAACCTCCAATGAAGCAGCAAAAAGCTGGAAGGAGAAGCATGGCTCAACTGGCAGAATGCCAGCCTCGATCAAAAAGCCTAAGCAAAAGGCTAACTCAGTGCCCAAGACCTGAGTTCAAGCCCCAGTACAGACATAAAGCCCAAAATCAACATTAAAAAAGGCTTGGGGCTGGGAAGGTGGCTCAGTGGTAGAGCGCTTGCCTAGCATGCCTGAAGCCCTGGGTTCAATTCCTCAGCATCACATAGACAAAAAAGGCCAGAAGGGGAGCTGGGGCTCAAGTTGGTAGAGTGCTAGCCTTGAGCCAAAATAGTTCAAGGACAGTGCCCAGACCCTGAGTTCAAGTCCCAGGACTGGCAGAGAAAAAGAAGTCTTAATTTATGTTTATTTCCTCCCGAAGACTGCTTTTGCGCTCCCCTACCCCCCTCCTCCTCCTCCTCTCCGCCCCCCCATCCTCCTCCTCCTCCTCCTCCTCCTCTTCTTCTTCCCAGTCCCAGGCTTGAACTGAAGGCCTGAGCACTGTCCCTAAGCCTCTTGATGCTCAAAGCTAATGCTCTACCACTTGAGCTTTTTCTGATGAGCTTATTGGAAATAAGAGTCTCACCAACTTTTTCCCAGGACTGGCTTCAGACTGTGATCCTCAGGTCTCAGCCTCCTGAGGAGCTGGGACTCACAGGCCTCCGCCACCTGCACGGGTTCTCCTTTCAACCTGCATGGAAACCCTCAAGAGGCCCCCAGCCCTGCCCCCCCAGCCCTGTCACCCCGCCCCCAGCCCTGCCCCCCCAGCCCTGTCACCCCAGGGCCCCGCCCTGGCATCTGCCCTGCCACTGTCTTCATTGTCACAAGGCAAGTCACATTGCACAGGTTTCCCCTGGAGCCCACCTGAGGAGGGCTGCAGAAAGGCCTGGGGGTCAGAGGTGGCCCCAGAGAGAGCAGGAAGAGGAAGGTGGGGGCCTGAGAGGGTGCAGCTACCCCTGCAAGCTGGGGGGGGGGGACCTCTGCCCCAGGGACCAGTATGAAGAGGAGGCCTGCAGATG